TGTGTACATATTATTTCACACATGTCTGTCTGTAGGATGAGTTTCCAGACGGGGAGCTGCTGGACACGTTTCGGTGCTCGCTAGATGTTTGCCCTGCAGGGAGGTGGTCGTTCAGTGGCCCCAGTGAGGCACTGCCCACCAAGCTTGCGTGTCGGTGCAGTGTCTTCGTGAGCTCAGCAGATACAAAATCTTCTCTTGGGGTTTCTCTTAGTACTTGGGATTTTTAAAAATTTTTTAGAGTATGTAGAATTTCAGTTAGATATATTACAAACACATTTCCCAGGTTAGCATTTGTGATTTTAACTTTGGTTATCCTGGTTTTTTTGCTGTGTAGAAATTGCTGATTTTATGTAAAGTTTCCAGTGTTTTCTTAAATCACTCTGTTTTTGTTTCCTATTTGGGAGGTTTTCTCACACCATGATTTCTCTCCCATGTTTTTCTTCTAATGATTGTGTGGTTTTCTTTTAATATTTGAATCTGACCAATTCAGAATTTGTAAGGTAGGGCTTTGTCTTTATTCTCTGGGAATAAGGACTGTGAGGCCCTTCTCCTAATGTCGTGTGCCGATTGAACTTTCCCCTGCTAATTTGAAATGGCACTTTGATCATAATCAAAATGTGTATTCGGGTCCCTCTCTGGACTTTGTGTTTGTTCCATTGGCCTGCTGTTCATGCACAAGTTCAATTACTCTAGCTCTATAATGTTTTAATAGCTGATGTTACCCTGAGAGAATTTTCCTGGGAAGTTCTTTTTAAATTCTCTATAGAACTTTAATATTAACTTGACCACTTTGTGGTGACACTTTATTAAATTATCTTAGGGGCAATTCAGATTTTGTTGTCTTCCATTCAGATATCAGGCATGTCTCTCCATCTCTTCATCTTCTCCAGTATCTGTCACGTTTCAGGGGATTTTTTTCATACAGATCTTGTCATTTCTTCTATTTATCACTGTCTATTACTATCTTTCTTATTGCTGTTGTAAATAATTGGGGTCTTATTTTAATCTTCTAACTGTATTTTTGGTTTGTATATATGAGTGCTATTCATTTTGATGTATTCATTTGTATCCACACAAATAATTGATTCTCTTTTTTGGTTATTTAAAATAGTATGTCAGCTGATTTTCTTGGGTTTTCTACATATGTAATCTGCAGATAATGATCATTTCAAATCTTCACCAACTTTTACACCATTTCTTTATTCCAGCTATGCTGGTTATTACCTTTGGCAGAGGGTTAAAGTCATCTTTGAATATTTCTGATTGAAATAAGGAAGTATTTACTCATTCCATCTTGTTAGAGGCAGGTGGTCGGATTTTTATAAATGCCTTTTTAATACATATAGAAATCTTCATAGTTTCTCATTTTTGATCTATCAGTGGGATGAATTGTATTCCTAGATTTCTTCATAATAATAAATCTTTGCAAAATCCTGGAATTAAACAGTTATGGTATATTCCTTTGATTTTTTTTTGAGTGTATTAGAATGTTAACATCTGTCTTATACTTATACTTAATATTATTTTGTCATTTAAAATATTTAAGGTTTTTATAGTGTTCCTGTGGAACACTGGCTTTTCTGTGCTATTTTTGTAGGGGTTTGTTACCATTCTTATGCTAGATTCCTTGCTTTCCTTCTTTATTATGTACCAGAAAAGTTTAAACCACATCGGAGTTATGTGACCATTAAGAGTTTGATCAAATTCCCTTGTGAATATGTCCCTACCTGGTGTTTTTCAAAGAAAGCTCTTTGCCAACTTCTTCTATTGATTTATTTTGAAATTTTTCATTTCACATATTCTGTTTTTTTCTATGGTCAAGCTTTGGTCATTTATATTTTTCTAGAAAATGATAGTGTTTGTTTATTTTCTATTTTTGCACAGAAATGAACAAAGTAGTTGCTTATAATTTTAATTTCTTCGTTACATTTGGCTGTGGCTCTGTAGGCATTTCTTAGTTTATATGCTTTTGTGCTTTGTTAATTTCACTGTTAATTTGAGAAGCTGGCGATGTCTCTGTTTTTCCCTTGAGGGGCTCTTAGACTAATATTGGTTTTCACTTTTTATTTTTTAACTGGCTCTGCTTTAGCTTTTTAGTTCCTGTGCTGAGATTTTTTTTGTGTTTTTTTTGCAATTTTTAGATAACGTTTTTAATTCACTAGTTTATGATAGTTTTCCAGTTTTGTTACTAATGCCGGGTTTGCTTTCACTGCGAGGAGTGTCTGCACTTTTGGAATCTAAAGTAAAGTTGTCTGGGAGGGACACCTGGGCTCCCACAGTGGAGCATCAGACTCTTAGCTCAGCTCAGGTCATGACCTCGTGAGATCGAGCCCCGTGTTGGGTTCCGCGCGCAGCACAGACTCCGCCTGAGATTACGTTTCCTCCTCCCTTTGCCCCTCCCCTGCGCACACACACTCTCTCAAGTACGTAATTTAATTAAATAAGGTTTTCGTGTCCAGTTTTATGCTCAACTGTAATAAATTTTCCTTGGACCTGTTGCAGGTCAGAACAAATTTAACTAGATTTGCCTTGTTAATGAGCTCTTCTGTGTGAATACCTCATTCTGTCTGCTGGATGTTTTTGTGGACGGAGAGCAGTGAAGTCTCATAACTCTGTATTCCTGTCAGTGTTTCCTTTATTTCTTACAGTCTTCGCTTTCTAACAACGTGTGCTCTGTGTGTCTTCATTTTTTATTATTTTTTAAGATTTTATTTATTTATCTGAGAGAGAGAGATTATGAGAGGAGAAGGTCAGAGGGAGAAGCAGACGCCCCATGGAGCAGGGATCCCGATGTGGGACTCGGTCCCAGGACTCGGGGATCATGACCTGCGCCAAAGGCAGTCGGTCAACCCACTGAGCCACCCAGGCGCCCTAGTGTCTTTCTTTAAAAAAACAATTCTTGCCGGGGCGCCTGGGTGGCTCAGTGGGTTAAGCCTCTGCCTTCAGCTCAGGTCATGATCCCAGGGTCCTGGGATCGAGCCCCACATCGGGCTCTCTGCTCAGCAGGGAGCCTGCTTCCTCCTCTCTCTGCCTGCCTCTCTGCCTACTTGTGATCTCCGTCTGTCAAATAAATAAATAAAATCTTTAAAAAACAAAAAACAATTCTTGCCTTGGATTCCATGTCCTGTCTGCTGCCGTGCTGGTCCCTGCGTCTGGACTGCATTTCCGCAATGTGCCTGTGTCCGTTCTCGCCTGCTTGTTCTCACGTTGGGAGTCTGTCCTTTAGACCGTGTGTTTTCAGTGTTGTGATCCAGTCTGTCTTTTTTGTACTGTGGAGTTAGGCAGTGTTTGTTTATTAAACAAAGTTGGTTTGGTCCTGTATGTATGTAATATGCTTTCTGTTTCTTTTGGGGTTTTTTGGTGTTCTTTTTTTAAGATTTTATTTATGTATTTGACAGACAGAGATCACAAGTAGGCAGCGAGGCAGGCAGAGAGAGAGGGGGAAGCAGGCTCCCCGCTGAGCAGAGAGCCCGATGTGGGGCTCGATCCCAGGATCCGAGATCATGACCTGAGCCGAAGGCAGAGGCGTAACACACTGAGCCATTCAGGCGCCCCTCTTTTGGTGTTTTTATGTTTCACCACATAATATGTTTTTTTTAAAGAGTTTTTTCAGATTTTAGAACATTTGTACTTTTGTTCTGATGGTACCGTCCTAAATGTAGACGGAATACTTCATTCCTGAGGTCTTTTCTGGTGGCTTTCTCCCGTGCATGGTGAGGATGTTTGGACCCGTTCACCTCAGCCCGCATCCCTGCCCCAAGGCCCACGCCAGACTTGATATCCACTAGTCCTGACTTCCTACTGGAGAATCGAGCCTCACCAGTGACCCGCCTTTTCCCCTCAGGCTGTCCATCAGCATCTGGGTCTCCCTGGGCCCTGTCGACTGTGCTCCCAGGTCAGTTGGTCAAGGCCGCGGGATGCTCACCTTGGTCCCCTCCTCTCCTCATGAGCCCTCTGGCTGCCTGCGTGGACAGGTGGAACATGTGATCTCATCAGCAGAGAGCAGTGGTCTGCCACGCACGGATGTCCGTCAGTCCTCAGTTGGGACTCACTGTTTGTTGAAATGTGTCCTTTGAATTTGGAAGGTGGTTCCATGAGGAGTACTTGCATTCGTGAAGTGATTTGTCGTGAAGGCTTTGACACCGAAATGACGGACGGACCTTGTGGGCCTCGCCCCCGCAGCTTGTACATGCGCGGCTGTCTGGGGAGGCGGCGGCTGGCCCGGCTCGCCTCCTGTGCCTTGTGTCTGCATGTCCGGCAGCCGCCTGGTAGAGATGGAAGGATTGGGAGGATAGCGCACATTCCCGTATGTAGCACTGTCCTTCCTTCGGAAACGACCTGTGACGCAGATGCGCCCTCACGGTAACGTGAGTTCCTAGAGCTGGCGAGCGCGAGGGAGCCTGCGGTAGCCGTCTCTGTGCTCCAGAGTACGTCTGAGATACGTTTCTTAAAATTGAATAAAATGCCATGTAACTGTAAATGAGGGATTCTGGTTAGTGGTCCAATCCGAAGACTATTTCATGGAAAATCACATTTTGTCTTATTGACCCCAGCGTATATTCTTGTTTCTTTACATGTCAGCAACCGCTCCTATGATTCTTACACATTCTTCAGTGTCATGTCCTGAGTTTTGAGTTAGAGTATTTTATATTCTGCAGTCTTGTAGCTAGAGATGATAAAATTCTGAATTTAGACTTTGCAGAGCGGAAGTTAATGACAGTCGCGGAGGCCAGAGCTACGTGGGATGTTAGACTAAAATATGTTAAGTGATTTCTGTTTGCTGGTTAAGGACTATTTTGAACAATTACTCCTCTAAATACACAAATAGGATTGAGGTTTAAAACAGCATGATAATTAAAAGACTTAAATGTCCAAGATTTTGTTTCTTCTGTAGAGCCCTCAGAAGCACAGCTTGTGACAAAGGAGAAATAAATCACCCTAATTATTTGTTTATTTTCGAGTCCTAAGGGGTTTTTAATTTGTTTTCCCTCTGCACTCAGGTACATGTCTCGAGTCCACGGTATGCACCCAAAAGAGACCACGCGTCAGCTGAGCCTGGCTGTGAAAGACGGTCTCGTTGTCGAAACCTTAACAGTAGGCTGCAAAGGCTCAAAAGCCGGTATTGAGCAGGAGGGATACTGGTTGCCGGGAGACGAGATCGTAAGTATATTTTATCAGACAAATTTGGAGATGTTGACTTGACATCTTGGAACATTATTTAACTCCAACACATAGTAATTCATTTTTAGAAGTTTCGTAGTATTTTACTTCAGTATTTCTTATGAACAGGAAGGGCCTACATTGGCAGGATGGATAATTTCCTCCCTCGTTAGGAGGAAACTCACTTCTAAAAAGAGCCTCCTTTCTCTGCCCAGTTTCCCTTGAATCTGAAAAATAAAACAGAGTCCCCTTCTACTGTACTCATGCAGCGGTCTTCCTGTTTTCTTCAGGAAACGTTAGTGCGGACTGTTTCATGCAGGCTAGTGTCAATGCCGTGTAGACAGAGTGAACGGGAAGTTGTCCTCCCGGGCTGATGGCGTCTGCGCCCGGGGCACCTGTCAGAGGGACTCGTGCAGGACTTACGGCTCCTTGGGCAGTCTCCTCACTGACTGTGACCATAACTGGTTTGCTGGTGCTCCAGCAGAAATCAGGAAAGACAAAGCTCATTTTCTTTATATTTTGCCTAGTTCTTACTTTGGCCCCCTTCTGAGTGAAGACATTTCAGTCTCTTCTTTTACTTGGAGCCTCAGGCACATAGAGAAGTGCATTTGTTTCTTACGTAAACATTGGTTTCTTGTGTAATACTTTTATATTTCTACCTTTACTGGCCTATGATATTTCTAATACCTTGATTAGAAAAGTCTTAATTTTTGCTAAGGCACATCGTTTAAAGAGGATAGGTTTCAAATATAATAGATACTTTTTCAAAGTTTCTAAAAGGAATCGATTTAGTAGGTAGGTGTTTTGAGAGTGTTTATCGTGACTTCTCCAATACCATAAAAATGACACAAAATCTTAAAATTGGTTCTTTGTGGGAACTTTTCCCAAGAATTGTGAATTGTATTTTCCTCTCTGGGTCTACAGCAGATGTGGCCCCATTCATGCTTGCTGTCCAGTCCCAGAGCAGCAAGACCACACGTTTTCTGGGGGCAGCTGGTCTAAATGTTAGAGAAGTTGTTCAGTTTTAACACTGTGTTTGTCAGTTTAATCTCTGCCTTCCAAGTTTTAGGAAAGAAAATTCACACTTTCCACAAATAGAAAATGTGGAAAAAAACAATGTTTACTTTCAGTGGTATCGTTTGATCTGTGCACTTGAAGTGCTCTTGAAAACTTAAGCAAGAATGTTTATATCATAATAATTTCTTTGTTCACATCCTCTCAGAATAGTAGAGCTTTCTTGCCAGTAAAGAAACTTTGGGGACCAAGTCCCAATAATTACAACGTGAGGTGATCTAACCCTATCCCCACCAGAGGCTGATAAGCTTATTATATACTGAAAATAACCAAGTAATAGAAAATTTCTAATCCCAGACACTTGGAAAATCTGTAGTATGGAAATTTCTGAGGTCTCCATATAATTAACCAAGAGTAAGCGCAGCTTAATGGGCAGGATTTTGGTTGGTTTTCCAGGCAAGAGATTTTACTTCCTGCTTTTTAGGGTTATGCCTCCCAGGGAGCTTTCTTCCTCTTCAACTGGGAGTTTTGCTCCCACTGAGCAGCTAACGGGCCACATTAGACTCTGTGTTCTGTGTTGGACATATTTACAGTGTCATCCCTTTTTTCTTTTTTCAAGATGAAAATTTCAAACAACCAGTGTGTAGGTTCTATTAATTCTGGTTGGTTCTTAACAAACATTTCCTATACTAAGTATGCATGTTTCTAGTGCAGCTGGGGTTGTGAAAATTGTGCCTAGTTTATAAAATAAGCAGATACTAAAAATGCAGAGGCAGTGTAGTGTAGTGGAAGGAGGTCAGGTCTTACATGCGAACACAAAGGGTCCCCATCCCAGCCCATGCGTTTATTTTGCTGTGTGACCTTGAGGAAATTTCTTAACCTCTGACCCTCATTCTTCACCTAAAATATGAGCATATGAATATGTGTTTCATTTGATTATTTTAAGGTTTAAGTGAGATTACCAATATAAAGCGTGTAACCATGTACGCAAAGCAAGTTTTGGCCAGCAAATAAGTGTGCTTAAGAAACGTCCCTATGTAGTGTAGCAAAAACACATTTCTTAATAACCACACAAACAAAAATTGTCATCAGGGTCTTTTTACTTCTAAACCCATCTCTTCCAACACAAGGACATGTGTAAAGACGTTTCCCCAAGACACTGGCACACTTTGAGGACCAGCTATGGAGTGCTGAGGCTGTGTGTGATTCCCAGAGCCCTGACTGGGTTAACCCAGGCTCCCAGTGCTGTCAGGCTGCTGTGTTCACGCACTGAGTCCCCTAGAAGGACACAAAGCTCATGTGTGGCCTGGCATGTGGGCCACTGTGTACCGGGCTGCTCTGACCTGCACAACTTGGGGAGGTGCTCAGCCCCCACCACCAGCAGCATGCGCGGCAGCCGCGTCTCCTCAGGGAAGCCAGCGCCAGGGGAGGGCCCTGCTGGAACTCGCACGGAGGTGTTCGTGGGCCGGTGTTGGAGTCTGGGCCCTCCTTCATACCTTCCCACCCGTACGTACGATTCTCTGAACATCGAGTTCTTATATTGAAAGACGTGTTATTCACCTTGCTGACTGTTGACTTTCTGACTCACTATTGAGAAAAGTCAAGCAGATACACACGGCTCTGAGAAGGAAAGGCATAAGATTTTGTACTTACTGCTTTTTAAACCTTTGATTGGAAGTTAAAGGATTCCTTTTTTTTTTTAAATATTTATTTATTTGTGAGAGAGCGGGGGGGAGGGGCAGGCAGAGGGAGAGGGAGAAGCAGGCTCCCCACTGAGCAGAGAGCCCGATGCGGGGCTCGATGACGGGACCCTGGGATCAGGACCTGAGCCAAAGGCAGACACTTAATGACTGAGCCCCCCAGATGTCCTGAAGTTAAAATATTCTTTACTCAGGAAGTTCTGTCATTTGAAAAATGAGTGGTAAAGCTCTTCTTTAATCTCTAAAAGTAGGAGCTACAGCTCCGAGGTGGGGAAAAGCGGATTTCTCTGGGCGAGTCCCCACAGCGCATGCCTGCGATCCCTTGTGTTAGCCCAGAGCTTGGCTTGGCTTGTCTTTACTGCCATTATGGTGGGAAGGGGATGGTGGTCCCGATGCCGCTCCCGTCCCTGAGCGGAGCCCGTTGGGGGCCCGTCTGTACTCCACCTTGGCTGCCTGTTCTCCCAAAGCTGCTTTTTAAAAACTGACACAATTGAAAGATACGTGTATCTTAGACATTATTTTTACTAAACCCGGCAATCGTGTGATAAATGTGTAATGCTAACAATAAGCCCGGAAATAATTATGTATAATCTGTCGAAGAGGAAGCCTGTATAAGTCCAAGACTGGCCTCCTTTGTGCTGAGCTCCTTCTGCCGGACTGGAATGATTTCTGCCCAAGTGGTGGTTCACCGGGAGAAACTGACACAAAGTAGTCAGTAGATGAGCATCTTCCTGGTGGTACTTTAAGTATGTCCATTTGAGAAAGCAGAAGGAAAACCACAATTATTAAAAATGAGGCCACTCTCAATGTTTTTAACGGTTTGCTTAAATATTAGTCAGCAGAGCAGCAGAGTTATCTGCACCAGCCAATTTTAAAATGACAATCTTGTTGAAGCTGGGAGCCCCTCCTGGAGATCCTGTACACTTCTCTTCCAGGTCTGTGTGTCACGAATACTCGCTCATAGGATCCAAGTAATTCTAGCGGCGGTTCTCAGAGCTTTCAGGATTATCTGAGCGAGGCCAAGAGACCCAGACACAGAGTGAAAGCTTGTGCTACCTCACTGTTCAGCGTTTCCTTACATCAAGGCTTTTTTCTTCTGATTTTCAAAGCCGGGCCGCACGTTCTCCTCGACGGCTCCATCGTCTCCTCCTGCCGGAGAAACATGCAGGAGATGTGGTGCTTCGGTCCACGTGTGTCGTCACATCTTGAGAAACCTACATCTCGGGCAGAGTGTTAGCATTTGCTGGGCCGATTTTGGCATTTAGTAGCTCCCTTTGCAGTAAACACGTTAATTGCTCAGACTTCAACTTTTAGCGCAGAAGGCGCTCGCTAGAGATTTGGAAGGTCTTCTAGAGGAACGCAGTGCCATCCAGTAGGGCAGGTAGCCTCGAGCTAGGGCTGCTGTGCAGACACAACATCAGGTATGCGCTTTGATGCTGAGGTAGTGGTAATGCTGTCTGTTGTCATGACTTCCGCTTCCTTCAGGGTCCCTGGTGCAGAGCCGTGACTCGGCCCCACCGTTTGATCTGACACTGAGCGATTTGGTGACAGGTGTCAAGGTTGACTCCAGGCTGCAGGACCGTGGTGCACTGCGAGCTGTGGGGCTTACGCACCTCCCGGGTCTGCGCTGGAGTCTTGTTTCTTCTTTCCCGTTACTGCTATTTCAAGATCAGTGTGTTCGTATGGCAGCTGCCCTGGGACCCCGGACTGTCACTTGGAGCCCTTGGCCAGTGTTCTGCAGCTGCCTCAGGTGCTCATGGGAGCTCGGGTCCCAGCTGCCATGCCCGCTTCAGTCCCGGGGCTTCTCATGGAATCCGGCGGGGCCTGCCGATAAGTAGGACCTCATGCTGCTTTCAAAGGAGGCCTGGGTAAAAAGATAGTTTTTGCTGTTTCCCGTGTATTTAAGGTCTTAACACTTTAAAGAAGCATAATTAATGAAAATACACATTTTGTGATTTCTTTGAAGGGATCACATGTTCTCCTGGGGATACACGGAATTTGGCCTAATTTGCAAAGGGGCGAGATAGACACTTGCCCACCCTTCTGTTTCTCCACATTCAGAATGACCAGTCTGAAAGCAGCAGTGGTTTACACACTTCCAGGAACTTGTTACGTTCTCATCCTTTACACAAGAGAGGATTGCATCTGTGTCTTTCCCTTCAGAAGTGACACCGTTACACAGCCATGGCAGGAAGTGTTCTCTTGATTTGCTCTTGAAAATGTATGAAGAGAAGCTGCTGAGTTCAGGCAGCTTGACTATCTCAGCCCGCTTCGTAAATACAAGTATTGAACTGAGAAATGTTTAAATTTAGATCTTTGCATTTTTGTGGTTTAGTTGTCATAAATTAATCATATGTTTTAGGTACCCTGAGTGCAAAACTTCAAGCTCATTGGATACCATTGATATTTTTTAAGTGAAATATATTTTATTACATTAATGCTAATTGTGTGCAGAACTCCACATTTCTTCCAAAGATCCATTGTGTGTCTCAGATGCAAAGATATACAAAATCACTTATTTACGAAGTGAAATAGTAAGTGTCTGTGACTATTAACTAACTAGAAACCAATTTAACTATGATTCTATGTGTATTCAAACTGTAACATACCTAGAAGTTATTCTTGATTTGGTAAAGAATTTCCATTCTCTCCAGTAGAGCATTTTGGGTCATGCTACTCTGTTATATTCCGTTCAGCTTTGAATGACTGGTTTTGTGTGTGTGTGTGTGTGTGTGTGTGTGTGTGTGTGGTTCCTTTTTTTCCCTCCTGTCTAGATTCTAGTTCTCTAAGCAGAGTTATAATAGTTTTATTTTTAATACATAATACTTAAAATGACGGGATATTTTTAATCACCAAATTCTTAGCTCTTGATGATTAACTAATTTTGCATTGTACCTATGTTATATACCACATCCAACACATATTTGATAAAGTGAGATTTATCTGCTCACTACATGTAAGTAGGGAATGACTTTAAATATTAGAATCTCTTTTGAATGTCCTGAGTGTGCGTCATAGTTTGGGAGGCCTGGTTACAGCCATAGCTCTCCCAGCAAGCCCTCAGTCAGCGATGTGTCTTGCTCTCTAGCTTACAGAAATACTGCGTCACTGTCACCAGGAACTTGAAGTCCTGAGGAAGAAGCGTGCATGCGTGTTCCTGCAAACGCAACACAGAGATGTGACTTGTTCTTAAGTTGGTTCTGCACTCCAGCGGGAGGTCTCAGGAACCAGCCAGCACTTACTGAGCATAGCCACTCATTTCATCCTTACAAAAACCCAGTAAATGAGGCACTACTATTTTTTTCATTTTACAGATGGAAAATGATACCCAGAGAAGCTAAGATTGTGCCCAGATCTCAGAGCCCATGAAGGCCGTAGCCGGGATTTGAGCCAGTGTAGCTCCAGGGTCTTAAGCCAACGCTGTCCGTGGTGGCGGATGGAGGTCAGCAGGCTGTTTCTAGGCGGTGGGCTACTTCCTCCTGGGTTCCGAAGACAGCCTGTGTGAACCTCACACCACGGTCAAGTACTGAGCTTACCTGTTCACATTCATGACTCCCAAATTTTTTTAAAAAAATCTCGCCTCGAACCACTTTCAGATCAAAAGGACTTACGTTCATAGTCTTGTGCAAATTTATAACGGCACCGAATTTCAGTAAAATGTTTTCGTAACATCACTGTAGGTTTTATGGTAGGTTTTTATGAATTTTCTCTTTGTCCATTTGTAGCTTTTGTGTTAGTGTCTAAGCTTCCTCTTAAACTAGGGATGACCCTTGAGTTTGCATGCCGTTGTCTTTTCACTGATGATTAGACAGCCATAGATAATGAGTTGATATCATCTACAAAGTCATGTAAGTTGTGTAACAAATCATAGTTGTGTACAAAATCCCTTAGCTCTGTGTATTGCCTGATAATGAGCAAGGTTGTAGTAGAGAGACCAAGATTATTTTGTTTTTGTTTTGAAAGGCCTACAGTATGCAGCCTTTCTTCAGGACAGCAGCCCCAAACAAGGTGAACTAATTTTGCACTATGTTATTTTACTTTTTAATTGTGCCCTTTTTTTGGTATACATTTCCATCTTTTTTTAGGGTCTCTTAGTTTATTCTTGCTAGAATTACTCGTTAAAATCATACTGTCTTTACATTGCTTCTAGTCTTGGATTTTATGCTAGTAGGTTTGCATTTTTAAAACTTTCTGGAAGTATTGGACTGTCATTTCACATACGGTGCTGTCGATCAGGCTCTGTCTAGAGTAGTGGCTGACGTCTGAAATCCAGTGAAAATGCACACGTAGCCCTTGACACACATCAAGTATTTCTGAAGTCCCCTATCCGTGGATTGTGTCTACTGGAAGAAAAACTGCAGCAGCTCTGCCTGTAACAAACACCTTACGTCATTCATACCCATAACAACGTTTCCTGGATTCAAAATTAGTAACTTTTGAACGTGACTTCTGCATGTTACATGTGAGCAGCTGCTGCTGTCCTTAAAAGAGTGAGCAGCACATACACCGCTGCTCCATCAACAGGTATCCACACGTTTCTCTCCTTTTCCTTGACTGGAGTTATGCATTCATTCCTGCAATTGTAAGAAACTAGGTCTAGCATTACACACTCTGGTTAAGAGAGATCCACTTTCCTCTTTGTGTCCTGCTGGGATGGGAAGGGGCGGGTCGGAAGAAGGCAGGAGGCGCTCGGGAGACCTGAGCTGTGTGCCTTGACTTGATGATCCGAGTTCCCGTTTTGAGAATTACAGTTAGGTGAATTAATGTAAAAAAAAAAAATCCAAATGATGAAGGATGGCGGTTTCTGTTGTTCATAATGAGTCAATCATAAGCCACTGAAATCCTTTAAGATGTTTCTGAACAGCTTTGAAGAAAATATTCTGAAAGACATTGTTTCAGACTGGGAAAGAGTTCCGTTAATTAAAAATAGACCAAAGCATGTTATCCTTACTGAACCCTATAAAATCGACGATTTATGAGACAAAACTTGTAACAGCGATTTGCAGCTTCCCACCTGAGCCCCGTGAGATGGGTGTCCCCAGTGACCATTGTCATGGCCAGGCGCCCGCATGCATGTGTTGTGTCCAGCTCCATGAGCTATGTTTCTTCTGCCATGCGCATATTAGGGTCAAATGTCAAATCAATATCTTACCATTTTTTTTAAGTAGTATGACTGAAATCCCTTCACCAAAGTAAGTTTGCAGCAAATCTGCACCAAGTAACCAGAAATGGTCATGCTTTTGTATTACTTTGGTAAAGACCACTTTTTCTAATAAAAGGCGAACAAAATTTACATTTTTGCAGAATTTGGTAATATACTCTAGCCATGACTCTGAATATGGGTAAGAAGACATGAACCTGGGAACTTTCTCACTTGAAGAGTGGCCAGTAGGCCCCTCGTGAGGTCAAGCAGGGATAGGTGCAGATTCGGTGCCGGAGGAGCCCTTGTTCCCTAGACAAGTCCCACACTGAAGCCTGCGTGTTGGGGGAGTGACTGACCTGAGAGGAAACCAGAAAGTTGCCCAACCCCAGAAGCAAACCGTAGGCAATGATTTATGAGAAGAAAAATGATGGCGGAACATAAGCCTGGAACTTCAGGGTCCCCCTTGAAAGTGGCCTGGATTGCACTACGTGTGGGCTCGACCCTTACTCCTTCCTTTATTAACCACATCGACAGAGGAAGGTCGAGTTAATCCCTCACTCTTAACACAGGTATTTTGTTAAAAGCTAAGAGTGATATTTATGATGAATTAATTAATGAATTAGTGCTAAACTAAGACAACTGTAATATCTTTCTGTTCCTAGTTTAGTGGCATTGGTTGTTCACACACAAAGTGTAACAGAAAGTGTATGAGAGCACCTGCCCTTAACGTTCGTTCATTTATGGGGACACTCCCACTAAGGAAAGATGCCTACTTCCTTTTTTGTTTCTTTATGGTAATGTCCTTTTGAGAATGTGATTAAACCTTTAGTTTCACATTTTCAATTTATTTTTCCAAATTTAACAGACCCTGAAAATTTGACAACTGTCAGAACATGGACATTCTGATTAATGTTATTTTCAATAAAGCATCCAAACCATGGATGAGAAGATAAGACTAGTGAGCATCACCGTTTACTACTATTCTCTCTGTTCTCACAGTGTGCTAAGTACTTACTGTATTTTGTTTAAAATGCAGAACAAAACAGAGGTTGGTTTATTTGAAATACTAAGCTGTAGGTGCTGGTTTGGGGTCTTCAGTTTATTGAAGAAATTATTCCATAGATTATATAAAAAAATGAAAGCTAATGTTAGAACTGGGATTGGCTCTGGACTTACTTCATTTGGGCTGGTTTTACTATCAGATCACCTTAAAATATTCTGAATATTAATACTGTTTCGGAAAGAAATTTTAAATTTAAAAAAGCAAATTTCTAGGTATTTTTTCCCTCTTGTTTTAACACAGTAAATGTCTAAAATTGTTTTAATGCCTAACTTCTGATGGACTTTAGTTTCAATTTTGTTCTTAGTCATTGCAGATATTGACAAAATGTCATACGAAATTATTTTGTATTTTTTGTAGGACTGGGAAACAGAAAATCATGACTGGTATTGTTTTGAATGCCATTTGCCTGGAGAGGTGTTGATATGTGACCTGTGTTTTCGTGTGTATCATTCCAAGTGTTTGTCTGATGAGTACAGGCTTAGAGACAGCAGTAGTCACTGGCAGTGCCCAGTATGCAGGGTGAGTACCTACGAGCTTTCATGTGCTGGTCAGAGGGTTGGAATTCACTGCTAATAGCTGTGCAAGACCCCCCAGGTGGGCATGCCAGGTGAATGGATGACGGACTGGAGGGTGGGGGTTATCTGCCGAAACAATGGTAACTGAGCACAGCACTGGTCAGTGCGTACCCCAGAACACCTGACATACTCAGGGTATGTAGACTGTTCCAGTCACAGAAAAATACACGTTCTTCCCTCATGTTACACTTGCCTCTGGATTGTGTGACTCCTGTCATGGCTAGCCTTTGGAAATCAAGGAATAGTCTCCCACACCAGGTTCGGTTCAATCTGTCCTCTCCACTCGGGAATCACAGCCAGCAAAAGGCACATTGTTGGAAGCATTTTGTATCTACTTCCCATTTTATATCCATGTAATGTCGCCTTTATTTTTTGTCATATCATGGGCTAGTTTATTTTTCCTTTGTGTTGTATTTGGAGGGTGGAGGGATGGGACAGTTGTATATAAAGCATTCTAATTACTTAAAGCAAAATGAAATAGTCTGGTAGGAAAAATAGGGACTTTCCACAATTATTTTCATTCCTGTTATTTCCCTAGTGAAAAGTATACCTGGCTGTGCTTGTTGGTTGTAAAACGTGGTGTGTGTGCGTACAAGTGGTGTGTGACGCCTGCATAGTACGTCGTATATGGCGTTGATGGTGATTAGTAAAAGGTTATTTTATTGCACCCTCTATTGTTTTTGTATTTATAATTGCTATGATCCATATTTGGAACCATGCAAGTTGCCCAGATTACTCATGGGCTCAGTTTCTGAATATACTTTGTATTACTTGAGTTAAATATTCATTTATAATGTAAAAAAGTTGTATCTTAATAATTTTTCCTTTCTTCAGTGTTGGTCCTAACTTTCCTGCCAGCATAATGAGCGTCTAATATTGTCTTAGTAACTTTGTATTTTCTTAGTATACTTCACCTCACCAGCACCTCTGTACATACACCCACTGTATATGCGCAGTGTGTTACCTCAGTGTACTTCACCTCACCAACACCTCTGTACATACTCAATGCATTGCCTCAGTGTACTTCACCTCACCAGCACCGCTCTACACACTCAGTGTTACCTTAGTATATTTTATCTCACCATCCCGCTGTATATACTCAGTGTTACCTCAGTGTACTTCACCTCACCCGCAACTCTGTACACACTCAGTGTGTCACCTCAGTGTACTTCACCTCACCAACACTTCTGTACATACTCAGTGTGTTACCTTAGTGTACTTCATTTCACCAGCACCTCTGTACACACTCAGTAGACATACAGGCGACCATTAGGGTGGCGTTATCAATAGGGTGTGTAATGATGATTCATAATCAGATGCCTAAATGCTAGGTCATCGATGAATCCCTAAATCTGCATGTATCAGTATCAAGCCTCAAGCTGTAGACCTCCTCTTTGATGTCTACAAGAATGTATGATGTGTCCATGAAATTAGTGTAATTGGGGGTGGGGGAACTGCATAAATATCCATACTTTATTTTTATGGATTTGGATTGTGAAATTAAAAAAGCAAATATTTGTTTTCCGGTAACAGTTAACACTTGAAGTAAGGTATTAATGAAACCTTAAGAACAAGAGCATTAAGGTAGTAAAAATACAAAGAGGTGGGTTGCTGATCAGATGCGAGGGACTCTCACCTTCCGAAAGTGCAATTCCTGATGTCCAGGTGTCCTTATGGCCACGGCTTTCATAGCACAGATTGAGCAAAAACACTGGGGTTTTTGAAGACGCATTGAACTTTGTTGTGCATATTTTATATTCCTGAGTGGGAATTGAACAATTATACCTTTGAAGAAAATGTCTAAGGCTCCTTTCATAGGATTTCACAGTCAAGTTGTCAGGTCCCATTTTCCACGTGTGTTTGCTCTACTTTGTAGGCCAGATGGTTTTTTTTAAATTTCAGAGAGTTACTGGGCCACAGTAACTGGGCCAAACATGCTAGTTTGGTAGGCCCGGTTACTGGGCCAAACGTGGTAGCCACAGTGGAGCTCAGTGTACCCCATCTGTCTTTCTGTCCTTTGGTTTTCCTTTCATCTTTGTCCATCTGTACTTGCCCACATTGTGAGAGGCTTGAACTTGAGGCAGGGATGCTGAGTTAGTAAACACTCATGACCCCGCACTTGTTTCTTAGGCTGGGAACCGCTCTGGGGAGGCTCAAAACGCCTGTGTTTGGGTTGGGGATGGTGAGTTTTATTTTGAGCTTTAAAAGGCCTAAAGAAATAGTTATTTCTGTGTAGGATCTATTCTGTTGTTTTGTTACATTCAAGAAAAAGATACGTATTAACAGTTCTTTCCTGAGAGAAGGAGTCATAATAACCTTGAAATTTTAAGGGGATTTTAAGGATCTTTAAGGGAATGCTTGTGGTTGATTTGTTTTTTTAAACAGTGTCAAAACTTCAAATAAAACCATTTTTGTGATCTAATATGAAAGTAACTGAGCAGATTTAAATGTTCTTGCTCTTAATGATGGAGAGGGTAGAGACTGGGACAAAGAACATGGTTGCAGATGAGAACATTACTCCCCAGTCTCCTTCTCCATTAGTGTTTAGAAAGAGCACAGATTAGCTAGACACACTCATGAGGAATTTTGAAGAGCAGATGCCCAGAGCCAAGTGTCAGTGCAGGTTGGAAGAGTAGTGGCAGCCGTCCATTACTACCGAAACTTGTATATTTCTGTTATCTTAGAGTGATCAGGAGATTTTTATTTCTGTGTAATCTGTCCCTGACCATATTGAAAGTGTCACTAAGAATTGGTTTCAGCCAGTGGCGAACTATTCAAGCACATTTAACGCATGTATCTGACCATTTCCAGATATTTTAAGAAGGCAATGATAGAAAGTTTTCTGTATTTAAAATAATTGTATTAACATTCATAATAAATCTCAGGAATCTTACAATCTTGAGGATATTTCTTTTGAATGTCTGCCTTTCTAGTCATTGAGATGTACAGACAGGGTAGATTGTTCTTGTAAAGTAGCCTCTGAGTGTCACGTTAGTATCTTGCTTTGAAAAAAGTTCTGGTAACATACTGTTCTACACTCTTACAGGGAACTCTCACTCATTAGAAAAACAGGGAGGATTTAAAATTATTTCTCTTATATTTACCTATAAAAATCCAAGTAATTTAGAGGAGGATAAAGAAAAAATGACATTTCCAGAAGTACTAGGACGCGGCAGGCAGATGTCCTCACAGACCTCTCTCCATGTGCGCGAGCACAAGCGTGTGTGCGTGTGTCCGTTTGTCCCGTATCTGTGACTTCACACACATGACTTCACGTAACTGGTGTGTATCCAGCACTGTCCCTGAGCCATAGTTTATGCCCTACTGATGCACATTTCCATCAGCCCCACGGTCCTGTCTGAGCAGCGGTTTCGCGCCGGAGTCTACCTGTCGGGCCACGTGCTGCTGAGCCCAGAGCCGCGCTGACACTCCCGCTCTTGGGAGCAGTCTCCTCGCTTTCATTTATTTCCGTACGCAAATGAAGTTTGTATTTTGTTGTAGTCAAGTGTATTTGAATTTTATATTCCCCAAATAGCCATGAATTTTCATGACAAAAATGAGAAGATCATAACTTTTAAGTGAAAGTAGCTTTTAAGATTTTATTTGCCTAGAAGATAAATCTTTAAAACACAGTATAGTCAATCGTGTTTTCTAAAAACAGAGACACTTAAAAATAACATGTATTTATGTAATTCTGTTTGATCACCTTCACAGGATAAATTTATTAAAGTGGAATTCATAAAGTTAAAGGATAGGCACATTTTAATTCATGATAAAAATCACCAAATTGACCTTTGGAAGATTATACCTGTTTATACCAACATGAAAGTGTTTTCCAGTGTTCTGTCACCAGTGGGATAGGATACACATGGATGTCTCCTTTCAGTATTGCTTCATTTTTATATAGTTGCCAAATCACAACGTCAGCTTATCCTTTGATGCGTTGGTCATGGAAGGTGGGCACAAGTCTGTGTGCCTGTGTGCATTTGTGTCCCTGCGTGGGTGTCTCCGCGCGCGTGTATTTCATGTGCACATGGATGTGGGACCAGGGGTTTCTTTGTGCATGTGTCTGGCGTGTGCACACGTGTGTACATGTGCACATGCATGCCTGTGTGTACCGGTGTGTGCTTGCCCGTGTGTGTGCTCATTGCTCTCTAGCTGTGCTCCTGCTGGGAACAGCAGGATAATGTTTGGTAACTTCTTGAATGCTCTGTAGCGTGTGGGCGGAGTAACACACTGTCGGGTCCCCGGGGCCGCTGCTGAGGTCGCTGCCTGCTGCCTGGAAGAGCTTGGGTGGGGGGGGAGACCTCTCTGTGGGAGGCAGACCTCTGTGTCGGGGTGAAGTCCTCTCTCTGGGGGCAGAGGTCTCTGGAGGGGGTACAGACCTCTCCAGGGGGGCGTGCAGAGCTGTCTCTCCACTGCCCCGTGGAGGCACTGGGCACTTGCACAGGCCTTAGGGGGCCCACAACCCAGATTTCTGTTTGGCAGATAATGAAAATGAAACATCTCACTACTTTAACTAAAACTAAACCAGGACTCCATGGCCATGAGGGGCCACCTGGAGTTCGATGGGTTGGCCCCAGCTTGTGGACAGCGCTGAGCTCTGGGGGTGTCACTTGCAGTGTGACTTGTGCTCGATAAGGGGGCTAAAGCCACAGTCCTGCCGAAAGCTAGTTCTTGAAACTGGAGATAGAGACGGACTTCTGAATCCACTTTCATTCTTTTTGCTGTGTGGGCAATACAGATTTTTTTTTTTTTTTAATTCCCAAAGTAGGGAGGTCACTCATTTAGTGTTCAGAATGAAGTAAAACAAAATGCTAAATGAAAATACTTCTAGGGCGCCTGGGTGGCTCAGTGCGTTAAGCCTCTGCCTTCAGCTCAGGTCATGACCTCGGGGTCCTGGGATCGAGCCCTGGATCTGGCTCTCTGCTCAGCGGGGAGCCT